CTCGGCACATCCCGCATAACTTTGTCTACCAATATCCCACCGTGCGCAAACTGGGTGCCTTCCTCTCCTCGACGGCGCAGCCCGGCGCGTCCGCCGCCACCCCGTCCGCAGATGGTATGAAGCTGCTAGCGGACAAGTACAGCGCCCAATTCCCAGCGCACTCTCCCAGCGTCCGCGTGCCCAACGCGGAGGCGGTTCTGGTTACGGGGACCACGGGCCGGCTAGGGTGTCACATTCTCGCCACGCTGCTCGCGCAATCCTCGGTGGCGCGCGTCTTTGCGCTTAACCGAAAGGATGCAAGGACCCAGCGTGGACTCGAAGCCAGGCAGAAGATTGCGCTAGAGGACCAAGGCTTGTCGCCGGAGCTAGTGCATCATGAAAAGCTTTCGTTGTTGGAGGGCGACGTGGTGTCATCGCAATTCGGGCTGGATGGTGCTATATTCAAGGCCATGCAAGAATCGGTGACTTGCATTATTCACAACGGTGAGATTCCTTATCTGGTAGTGAAGATTGATAAAAGTCACTAACTCGCGGGATGAAGCCTGGCGCGTAGATTTCAATGTGTCCCTCAGCTCCATGGAGCCTATGGTCGCGGGGACTCGCAACCTACTCGACTTCGCTCTGTCCTCGAAATTCACTTCCCCGCCCAAGTTCCTCTTCGTGAGCTCACTAAGCGTGTACAGGAGTGAGTTGACAAGCAAATTATCTGTCGACGCATTCTGACCGCTAGCAGACTGGACTCGTGGACCTGCGCCCGAAGAGCCTATTCCCGACCCCGTAATCGCCCAAGGCTCTGGGTACAGTGAATCAAAGTGGGTTGGAGAGAAGATCCTCCTCAAGGCTGCGGAGACAACTCCGCTCTCGCCGAGTATAGTGCGTGTTGGCCAGATCTCTGGTGGGAAGAACGGGGCGTGGAGTACGGTAGAGTGGTTCCCCTCTCTTGTCCGTGCAGGAGAGGTTGTCGGATGTCTCCCGATTGTGGCGGGGGTGCGTGAACCGATCCTACTAATAACGAAGTACTGATTTTGTCCAGCATGTATCATGGCTTCCAGCGGACGTCGCCGGTGCAAGCTTGGTGGAAATGCGCCGCTCCTCGGCGCCGATTTTACACCTTGCTCACCCCAAACCCGTTCCGTGGTCGACCGTATTGAAGCCCTTGTCAGAGAAGATGGGGGTACCGCTCGTTCCGTACTCGGACTGGCTTGCTAAGCTCGAGGCTACCATCAGCAGCCACGCGCACGTCGCGGTGGCACAGGCTACTGGCAATCCTGCGTTGCGTAATATGGACTTCTTCCGTGGTGCAGAGAAGACGTCGACCGACCGCGAGCTCGAGGCGATGGGCTTCCCGCGTTTAGTCGTGGAGGTCGCGAAGAGGGAGGCTCCGTCTTTGCAGAAAGTGACGGCATTGGGTGCGGACGATGTTGACAGATGGTTATCTTACTGGAGGGCAGTCGGCTTCCTCCAGAAGGAGCACTGAGTAAGTAGCAGACGCGTGGGGCATGGAGAGTAGCACGGCAGGGCGCGGCAAAGTAGCGGATTCTACATCTTGAAGTTGTACAACACGGCCCGGGCCGGGAGTTCCGCTCGGATCGGAATTTGGATCTTAGAATGTGCACTGGTATTTCGGTTTTCTGTCGTGCTGTCGACTCTACTGTACTAAGCTTTCTCCTTGCATCTTGACCCACGCTATGGTTGTGCGACACTGAGGAGAAAAACACTCTGAAATCACGATGCTTTGCTGAAATCAAGGCAGGCTATACGGCGGGCTGATGATTTTCAAGTTGAGAGGTATACATTTAATCTAGACTCTCGCCAGAGCGTTTGAAGACAAGAGGTAGGTCGATATGTGCACCTTCCTTTCATCGTCATTTGAATGCCCAGTGGGCGCATTTACTTGTCATCAGCTTCGCTCGGCCCTCTATCACATGGCTGCTAACCCCGGTCGCAAAGCCATATGGAAAGCTCCTTCCACGCAAGCCGTTATGTGCACCTCTACTACGGCATCCTCTATCATGAAATTTTCTGTTACCTTGTAGCAGCATCGTTGTGAGACCATTACGACACGGCCGTCACATCCTCCCTTGACCCTTTTGTAGTCTTGAGTCCCACTCTCGAGCAAGCGTCAGGCTTCTCGAAAGTCAGTCCCGCGCCAAACCGGTCTCGAAAGTATTCGCAACGTTCTCCCAGGCTCACCGTTCTGTCGTGCTCGTCCAGTCTATGTCCTACAGATCACACACCTTATCTGCATTCCAAACCAGAGTAGGTAAGATATGCGCTTACTCCTCTTCGCGACGCGGGTGGCGTGTTGGACTGCTCGAACTGACCGTGTTCAATACACCGTGCAGACGGCTTAGACGGAGATAACAATCGGAAGAGGTGCGCATCTCTGCCATTCTGGATTGCCAGAGTCGGTTGTTGCGAGGTATGGGTTATCCGAAGTCCACTTATGCTCACTTCTGTCACTCTACAGCCGCTTGCAG